CCGTATGTGACTGAGGAGCCACGTCCAAGTCCCAGGGAGAACCTCATCGTCTCAAGACATCAGCAAGCACCTAAAGGTTGTCACCTCTACCCTTCATATAACGCTGCAGGCAGACATAAACCTGGGGCTGAGAGAGGGTTTCACTTCCCAGAGTCCCCCACAAAACAAGCCAACAGACGTCCTCCGTGTCCCCATAAAGGCAGCCCAAGCAGGCACGTGGAAGTCCGACCACACCAAAGAGCAGGAACACAGCGCTCCCCACCACGGAGGCACGAGAAGTCCATCCCAACGGAGAATTATCTGAACCTTCCACAGATGTGGTGGGGCCCCGACAGCAGCAGACAGGCGGCCACCAGAGGAGAGTGCTGCTGCCATAAAGGCACGCTCCTGGGACAGTGCGAGGGCAGTGAGAGCAGTGTGCCAGCGGGCTGCCCAGGGTGCTGCTGCGTCTGCAGCACTGTCGGGAACTCGGCCCAGCCAAGGCAGGGAGAAGCGCAAGGGGCGCAGGCAAGGCTGGAGGGGGTGGCTCTAAGTCACCCTCAACCCTCCACAAAGGGAGAAGCCTTTCAAGAGACCCCTGCTGCCTCTCGTGCATGCCGGGATTGCATGCACAGCCCACGATGTCTAAGGGATGACAGCGCCATAAATCCATTACCACATGCCGTGGCAGCTCTGCACCCGCACAGGTGGCAGGAGGGCTGCACAAAAATGGCCCATACCAGTGAAATCTAAGACAGCTGCGCTTCCAGGGAAAACCCCACAAGTCCTCAAGTCTAAACTTCTACCTTGCAAAAAAGACCAAAGTCCCGGGAGCCCAGAGCCTTGTCGGGTGAAGAGGTGCCTCCTGCCAGTCTGGAAGCCCACTCTCTGCTCACCTCAGAGGCACACACAGGGAGGGACAGGCAAGGAGTCCCCAGTGGCTGCCCCACTGCCAGCAGCCAATGGGGGCACACCTTTGTCTTTCCTTTCTGCTGCTCTTCCATTCCAGCTCCATCTCCATGCAGGCATGTTGAGAAATGTTAATTACCCAGCCTGCCAGGGGTGCCTGAGCTCTTCAGGGAAAAGGGCAAAAGACCTGCCATTAAAACAAATCAAAATCCCATCATTAAAAATAGCAGCACTGCACAGAAGTCTCAACATCCCGCTTGTCCAAATGAGAAAACGGAGATCCAGGAAGGCTGCAGTTATTGACCTGAGTGTCCACTGATCAAAGGTGAGAGGTGAAGAGGCCCTACCAGCCCTCCTCCCGTCCTTCCTCAGAAAACTCCAATTAACCAATGACATCACTCTCAGCCTCTCAGCAAACAGCAGTTTGTCAAACAATATCAAATACCTAGATTCTTCTCTTCCTAAACAACATAGCTTTAAACCTCTAATTAGTAAGACCTCTGGCAACCACTGCAATGCTATCAGCATTATATGGGCAAATAGATCCTTTTGTCACCTAAAAACGCACAGCCAAGACCCCACCCATCACAGGGCATATCACCTTCCCACACCCAGGGAGAGCAGCCTGCAAGAGCACAGGCCAAGCGCAGCCACCACTGTATTCTCTACATCCTCCCTGGGAGCCAGCCATCCACCAAAACCAAACCCCAGAAAGAAGGACACTGGTGGCCTGGCGACTGCCCCTTCCCAGAGCTGCCTGATGTGACTCTAACTGAGCCTCAGGGGCTCCATTCAGGTCCAAATGCAGATTTAGAGTCTCTCCACACTAACTCTAGGAAACAACGAAAAGAAAAACTCTACATGATTTGAACTCAGGATTTAATTTTATCCTCCAGCACTTCTAGTAGATCTCAAAGCAAGAGAGGGATAGGAAGAAAAAGGGGAAAAAAGGCTATTTTCAGGACTCCACTGAGAGATACAACCAAAAGGGATCACAGCATGCAATGTGGAGACCCCAGGACTCTGGCCACAAGTGCAACACTGCCCACCTGAGGGAGACAGAGCCTGCCCAGGTCCTGACCTTGAGTCTCCCTGTATTTCAACTGGCCTTCTTGAGACCATAGGCCACTACAGACATGCTATTTCAACTGTATTTTATGTTTAAATATTTTACATGTATAGAGCAAAAAGCCTTCAACATGACCTGCCACAAGATGCCCCATTGCCCACACACATCACCCTTTTTGGAAGATCACAGGATAGGTTTAGAGGGAAACAAATCTTAAAATGTAAACGGGATAAGAAAAAAGGAGGAGGAAGTCACCAAATTCTGAGGCCCAGCAGGATTCTCACCTCATTCAGGGTGGAGGTTTTCTCTGAGTCTCTGCAATCACACACTTCTGCTCACAGGCACAGGTGACAGTGGTGGCTGCCTTGATGGAGGGAAGCCAGAGAGTGACCCAGTGTGCGTGCTTCCTCTGCTTTCCTGTGGCCTCCCATGTTCAGGTAAACCATGGGCATGGAGGCGGGCTGCTGACTAAGCCAGGACACAGTGCCTTGTGTCTGGAGTGGAGAAGGTCAAGTCACACCTGATGCAGCAACGAGGAGTGCCTCACTCCACTGTCGGACCCCACTCCACACTCAGCCACTTAAAATCACCACATGCTACTGAGGTCCTCTGACTGCAGACCCCAACCCTTAAGAAATGCAATATACACAGAAACAGGTGCTTCTGGAGCAGACACAGGCACCAGGCAGTACGTACAGCCTGAGCCACATGTGAAGCGAGAGAACAGGAACAGGCCCTTCCGCCTGCAGACAGGGTGCAGCGTGAAGGAGCCAGAGGTAAAGGCCCCCACAAGGAAGGAAGGTTCGTGCTGCTGAGGAGAAAAGCCCCTGGTGCGGCAGGGGAGGCAGGGGGTGTCAGCACTCAGGAAGAACGAGGGGTACGTGAGACTGCACACATCTAAATGTGACATGGGGACAGGACCAGGGAGAGCAGAGCCATGGCCAAGGAAGAGAGGCAGGGCCTCAGGTCAGGGAGGGCACAGAGGCTGTGCTACCTCCTCAGGGTTGCAGATCTCAGGTCGGGTCATGAAACCAGGGGAGCAGGGCGGGCAAAGAGGCAACGAAGCAAGGAGGGGCCACCTCTGCCCCCCAGCAGCTGCAGCCTCAGGGCAGACGGGAGGACGCCACAAAGGCTCAAGAGCGAGGTGTTCCCATCGGCAGCTTCCACAGTGGCCTTGCTACTCAGGGGCTAGACACACCAGGGTAGGGAGGCCAAGTGGTGACTCAAATGTCAAATGCAACGCCAAGGAAAATGGGAACCGGCCAGGCACAGAAGCTGAGCTGTTGTCCAGGAGACCACTGTCCCAGCAGTGACTCCCCCAGGTCACCAGAAGTCCTAAATAGAAAACAACAGGTAGCTCACACCACGAGGGAGGCACGTGGCCAAGTGGTGTGCACCCTAAAAACAGAACATTAAAGACAGACAGGGACAGGGGTTGGAGGACAAGAAGTCATTCTGGGTAGAAATGGCCACGGAAGTCACTGCACACAGATGGCCATCTTCAAAATGAGGCCCGAGTTCCAGCAGCAACGGGGACAAGGGCTCCACAAGTGAGGGGGACAGCAGGAGGAGGACGCAGTGCTGCCCAGAGATGGCGTTTCAGGACCTGCAGGGACACAGACTGGTGAGCCTGACCACTTCAGCCTGGAGGCAGGACTCACGACCCTCTTCTGAGTTCAGAGCCTCGACCGAACCCTCCCCTCCCACTGCAAGAAGGCAAGGCTGCGGAGACCAGAGCCTCTCCCTCTGTGCGGGGCACCCGCACATGGTCTTCTGCACACCCGTTCTGTGGGCAACACCATACAGTGCCCAGAGTGGGCCCTGCTCCTGAGCTCTGCGGGCATGGGCACATCCAGGCCTCACAACATCCCTGGGAGACACACTCCCTGAGGACCCTGGGGCTGGAGAGGGCTGATTCGATTCCAGGACAGGGACACTCAAGAGAAAGCTACGGGAAAGTGGGAAGACAAAGGCGCACAGAGCTTGGCAGACCCCTGGATGTGGGTTGCAGAAGCAGGCATTCAGGCCTCTCAGGCTCCCGACAGCAGCAGTGACCACACGGCACTACAGCAGACAGCGGTGCTACTCAGTCATCACTCAGGGCGAGAGAGGAGGTGCCCCAGAGGAAGAGCACTGCCCCTCCAGAAGCCGGCCTCCCGGGATCACAGCCCCCCCGGGAGCCACATGTACCAGTGCCTGGGAAGAACACGAAGACCCAGATCCTCTCAGATCTCACAGCAGAGGTCCAGGGGTCAGCTGGGGCCGCCCCCTGGCTGCTGAAGAGGATGACACCTACCTGCAACCAACAGCTGGCCAGCAAGGGAGCAAGAGGCCTGGGTCAGCAGTGCAGGCCACCCCAGCAAGACCAGTCTCCCTTCGTCTCCACTTCAGAGGGTGTTGATCCCAGGAGTCCTTCCTAATAAGCTCCCCACACATGGCTTCACCGCAGAAGACACGTCCCTGAGCACCCAGCCAGCACCCTACACTGACACAGCCAGAGTGGCAAAGGCAGCCTGACAGGGGAGCCACTGGGTCCCCTTCTGACGCTGACTTTCAAGCACCTACAGACACCAGGGAGATATGCCCCACGCTGCGGAATAAACAGATCACCACCGAAACCCAAAGCCCAGGTGACCCCAGGAACAGTGTGGGCAGAGGGAGCAGAGGAGGCCCACTGTGGAGTGCGGGCAGAGATGTCACTGGGCCCATTACAGCAGCACAGGCGACCTCGGCCAGGTGCCCTGGAAGAAGCAGTGCCAGAGGACAAAGGGCTGGGCCTCTGGCTGTCTCACCTCCCTTCAGTGAGGCCACGGGGGCCACACGGTGAAACTCCCCAGTGTCCTCGGGAGCTGAGCCCTTCCCTCCACAGCACCACGCATCAGCACCGTGCCTGACACAAGACAGAGTGCAGAGTGGGAGGGGGCGAGAGCCAGGCACAGGGCCTGGGGGCCTGGGCAGGAGGGGGACGACCCGCCCACTAGCACCACACCCCAACCCAGACGCCTCCTGCTGCCTGGGAAAGAACCAAAGTCCACCGGCTCACCCTGGTCCGACAGGAAGTCCAGCATGGTCTGCAGGAGGAAGCACAGGTGTCTCACGGACAGCGCAGGGTTCCCCATTCTCCGGGAGGCATAGACCAGCTCGTGAAGCAGACGCATCTGGACAGCAGCCCAGCCTCTGTGTGTACCTGCAGCAAGGACACAAGCGTCATCAAGGAAACGTGCAATGTCCCATGACACCTGGCAGTCTATGGCAAAGCCTCAGCTTTCAAAGTCAAAGGGCCACAGAACATACTCCCCCATGGCCACTGATCCTGGAGACAGACTCTAAAGTGACCCACTTTCCATACATGAGAACATCTTCCTTTCTCTTCACGCAAAGACGCGATTTCAAAACTATCTGAGATGATTCTGATAAACTTAGAAGAAAAGACTTTTCAATGCCATTGAGTTACAGACATATATTTTCTCCAAAAAAAAAAAAAAACAACTGATATTTTGATGGGCCTTCCTTACCAACCAAGAATATTAAATTAAAAACATAGTATTTTTCTGAAGTGTAAGAAAAATACAGGAAAGTGGAGAGACTGGACAAAGAGGCCATATCAAGGGGCTTTTATGGCTGCTCCTGTCCAACTTGGCTCAGCATGCTTCAATGCCAGGCTGGAGATTTGGGTGCAGGGCCTGTGGAGCATCGCCTCAAGCCCAGAATCTGAGAGTCATTTACTCCACTTCCCTTTGCTAACCTAACTATTCTCCACCTAAAAACACCGTGTGGCCAGGCGCAGTGGCACACACCTGTAATCCCAGCGGCTGAGGCAGGGAGGCTGAGGCAGGAGGATTGCGAGTTCAAAGCCAGCCTCAGCAATGGCGAGGTGCTTAACAACTCAGCGAGACCCTATGTCTAAATAAAATACAAAATAGGGTTGGGGATGTGGCTCGGTGGTCAAGTCCCCCTGAGTTCAATCCCTGGTACCCTCCCCCGCAAAAAAAAAAAGAATGAATGGATCTAAAAACACTACATGGAGAAGATAAGGTGACAAGAGTCTGCACTGCGTCCAGGGCTCAGGGATTGGAAAGTAATTTCAGTCACAGCAAGGTCTGATTCAAAGGCATCCCTACCTCAAGGCTCCCGTTCCCCACTAGATGCTCGATGGTAGCCTCCGTGGCCTCCACTGCAGCGGTCCCCTTGCAGCAGGTGGGCAGAGCCACTTATAGGGACTGAAATACAGACTGCAGCACACCCTCTACACGAGAAGATGCTGATCTCGACACATCTGGAGAGGGACCAGGAAGTCTGTGTTCTTACCTCTCTAACTCTGACAATCAGCCAGACGGGTGGCGATTCACTGCTCCCACTGACCTAAACTCAGGGCATTCAGGCTCAGACAAGCCAAGGACATCCCCTGAAAGCCTGCAGCAGCCCGTGACAGCAGGTCAGTTAACAGGTGCTCACCAAAAGCCTAAGACAACGCAGGCCTGGGAAGATGATGGGAGGGGACGCAGGACCCAGAAGGGAGCACGCTGGGGGATGCCATGTGGCCACAAGGAAGGACGGCAGCAGGTAAGTGTGTGACCTTAGCTGGGGCGGGTGGCAAGGAAGGGACATCTGAGATGAGGCTTCCATAGAAGGTGGCAACAGGAAGCCGCACAGCGGGCACCGCACAGTCGTCCACAAAGGCAGTGAGTCACCTCAAGAGCCCCAGCAGCTCCTCGTGAGTCCCTAATAAACACTCGCTGACAAATGCTAGTGACGTCATGATGCCAGGAACACAGTGTGACCGCACACACGGCAACCTGACTCAGCTGTGCCAGGATGGACACCAACACGGCCACACTGTGCCAAGACCGAACCCTGCACCACTACGTCTCACTCAAGGTGCTCACTGGGTAAGACCTGCCTGGGTCATGAGTTCCTGCGTTTGGAGACAGTTTGTCACCACACTATCCCAGAGCAGAGCTTCCACAGATCAGGCGCTCCTTTGGTGCTACCTACGGGCCAACGCCACCATGGGAGGAGGCTCCTTCTCATTCCCTGACCTCCAGTGGTTCACCTGCAGTGTTTTAGACTCCTCCCAAAGGGTTCCTCTGCCCACGGCACCTCCTGGCCTGTCTCCTACATCCTGCCCCACACGGCTGACCACCTAACCGCACAGAGCACAAGTTCAGCCCAACGCAGATGAGCTGCGGGCCACGTGTTTGTCTCCCCTGAGGGCCTTCCTCACCTTGGGAGCCAGGGACGAGTCTCACCCAGGCACAGATCCTGGAGGCCCACAGGAGGCCCAGGCACAGATGGCACTCAGCAAGCATGGGGTCAAGATGGAAACCTGAGGCAAGAAGGCCTGCACACTCAAGGATCTGAGGTGGAACGGGATGGTTTCCGAGATTTGCTAGAAATACTCCCAAAGAAAGTGAATAAAGGAGAAGTTAGGACACACACAGGCCAAATGCTAAAATCCTGATAACAACATGAAGCTGGTGGTGGCCACGGCGCTGCTGTCTGAGCTGGGGATGTTTGCAGGGTCCCATGACGGGCCCACACTGAACTCCAAGGACCTGACTGAACACTTGCCTAGAGCACAACCAGTGCACAGATGTCTTCAGAAGCCTCTTCAGTAAGACGGTGGCACAGAGAGCAGAAGGAAGGGAGTAGGCACGTCCTATAGTGCCCCCTCTGTCAAAGCTGGGGCCATCTCACACCGAAAGTTAAAATTTTAAAAAGAATTAGGCAGGGGCTGGGGATGTGGCTCAAGTGGTAGCGCGCTCGCCTGGCATGCGTGCGGCCCGGGTTCGATCCTCAGCACCACATACAAACAAAGATGTTGTGTCCACCGAAAAATAAAAAATAAATATTTAAAAAAAAAAAAAAAAAAGAATTAGGCAATCAATGTCGTGACTCACCTAGCCATGCCTGAAAAAGACCCAATTCCACCCAATTTCAACACCAAGAAGATTTTCTCACAAAGAAACTGGGCAAATATCACTTTGCTGATCTTTTTAAAAACAGATAATAATGCAGTTCTCCCACAGGTGATTATAAGTAAGCCGCAGTGTGAACTTTCTCAGCGGCAGACAGTGCAGGCTATGATTTCTCGAAGTGCTCCTCTGACAAAACACAGAACTTTTTTTTCTTAAGACAGATTTGAAGCATATGACTCAGTGATAAAAAAGTTCACCAATTTGGGGGCTTATTAGACACGTCAATGACTGCCACTTAGCAAATCCACTTGCTGTAGCAGCCTCTTTTGGAAAAATGCCTGGCCCAGTCCAATCTCACCCCCAGGAACAGGCTGAGCAAGGGGCACTACCCCAACCTTCAGGACGGGGACGCTGGAGACAGGATGCAGGGCTGGCACCCATGCCGCAGCCCTGGGGGCGCTCGTCTAGAGAGGCAGGCAATGCTATGGGACTTGGGAATGCCAGCAGGCCGCCTGTGCTCACAGGCGCAGGCGCTGGTGGATCTCCAGGGCACTCCTGGAGATGGAGTTTAAGGTGGTTTTATTTTTAATTAAAAGTACAGCCAGCTGACATTTACCATTTTGCTTTATTTGATCTCATTCCCTCTCCCTCCTCCCTGATCTCTTCCATCGTCTTTTCAGTGATGATGGCAAATGTCCCCCTCCTGAAACAAGTCCAAGAAAAATGTTCTGAGTCACCTGGAAGCAGGCTTGTTTGTCTTATTTTTTAAAAAGACTTCCCAATGAAGAGCAAGAAACACTGCCCTCGGTGAGAGCCACAGACGCTGGGGGCTGCTCCGGGGCTGAGCTCCACGGGAGGAAGCATCGCCCGCACAGCCAGGGCCGAGTGTAGGGGTGTGGAGCAACCACCCCAAATGTGTCTTCATACATGTAAAACCACGAGAGTGCTCTGAAGAAGCCCAACAGCGTTCAGTGAGAGAAATGAAAGGAGTCCCTGAGGCAGAAAGGGCCACACGGGATCTCTCTCAAGAAACGACACTCAGCTGACCGGAAGGATGACAGAGTCAGACAGCAGTGCAGGGAGGAGACCCCTGAAAGAAAGAGGAGCCACTAGAAGACTGAAGACTAATACATCTTTAGACATGATAGACACCGGTCTCAATAGAGAAAGAAAAAAATTAAGACGACTTCTGAGCAACTTTCATAAAGCCCAGGTGGCTAGCTTCCCCCTGAAGCTAGCCTGGGGTTACAGTCAAAGAATACCAAAAAAAAAAAAAAAGTAACAGAGAGCAACTTCAGTCTTTCCTAAAGTGTCCCAGAAGCATGCCAAACAGGGATTCCATTCACAGCACACATAGAAACCTCTTAAAATACACTTCCCTGCCAGGCACAGTGGTACACACCCATAATCCCAGGAGCACGGGAGGCTGAGGCAGGAGGATCACAAGTTGAGGACAGCCTCAGCAACTCAGTAAGGCCCAAAGCAACTCAGCAAGGCCCTAGCAACAGCAGGGGATGTGGCTCAATGATTAAGCATCCCTGGGTTCAATCCCTGGTATCAAGAAAATAAACAAAATATACTTCCCTGTTTCCCTCTAAAGTGATAGTGTGACTGCCCTAAAGTCTTCTCTTCCCTCTTCCCAAACACTGCCCCAGTCCCATCAAATTTCTTAGGAATACAGCAAAAACGAGTTTCAACTCTAAGGAGAGTTGAAAAAAAAAAGCCTGGCAGAATCCAATCTTCTCTTTCACCTGAAACTCTTTTGAACGCAAATCCTACAAGTTTCCAGGGCTTGTCCAGTGATTTCTGCCCTTAAATCTAATCAATACCACAAAAAACCAGGGAGGGGCCCCGCCTGCGAAACCTACTTCTGTAGTGTGGACACCAGCAAGAAGGCCCCGACTTGCTGCTTTTTCCTTTGCCCCCTCACACTGGACTTGCCAGCTCTGGAAAGAGCACTTGGCTGGTCCTGACCTGCTCCCTGTAGGCTCTGATGACCCAATCCCGTATCCCCTGCAACTCAATCAGCATCCCCATTTCAAACACTCAGGACATCTGGTGACTTGGCCACAGTCGCACAGCAGGGTGCCAGTGTCCCAGCCTTAGGGACAGCACTTCCCCCTTGCAAGTCATCATCCCCTCTTACATCACATGGACTCACAGGTTCCACTCCCTGAGCAGCTGAAACTGCCCACTGAGAGACCACAGCTGTCGAAGTGGCCAGGGGCCCAGAGGCCCAGCTAGGTTCATGGGGCAACAGACTCACTTGGCCCTGAGCCAGCCAGGTCCCAGCACTGCAGCCCAGTGCTCTGCTGGGGTCATGACCACTGGCAACAACTCTGCCCAGCATGGCAGCTGCCCTGGGGCCTCACTGAAAATACCAGGAAAGTGCCATAAAAATATAATCACCTTTTGTGAACGATCATTTCTGTAATGTCCAATAAGGGCAGTTTTTTTAATAAATAAAAATATCCCTGACTTCAAGACTGAGTACAAAGCTACAGCAATCAAGGCCATGTAGTTTTGGAGTGAGAACAGACAAAAAGATCCACATAACGAAATAGAGAACCTGGAACTAGAGTCACAGAGTACAATAGGCTGGTCTCTGACAAAGGCTAAAGGCAACACACAGCTGAGACAGTCCCTCCTGACAGATGGGATGCCACAACGGGACATCCAGAAACTTGGCCACAAGTCTGGACACAGACCTTGGACTCTACACAAGTACTCGGGAACATGTAAGGTTCAACTGCAAACCCCTGACGTTAACACAGAAGTGGAGGTGACCCTTAGTATAGCAATGACTTCACACACTCACCAAAGGCACCATCCAGGAAAGAATCAATACACTAGATGTAATTAAAACTGAAGACTCTGTCTACTCCATGAATGACACTACCAAGAGAATGAGAGGACAAGATACAGATTGACAGAAAATATTTGCAAAAGACGTCCGATAAAGAAGTGTTGTTCAAATCATACAGCACACTCCTAAAACTCAACAGAACAGCCTGATTTTAAAATGGGTAAACGATCTGAACTGACACTTCACCAAGGAAGATACTCAGGTGGCAAATAATCATATGTCCTTAAAGAACTGTAAATTAAAACAGCAACAAGGTACCACTCAGCACTTGTTAGAATGGCCAAACTCCCAAGAACTGACATCACTGGACGCTGGACAGGATGTGGAGCAACAGGAATGTTCCTCCATGGCATGGCAGGAAAGCAGAATGGCACAGCCACCGAGGAAGAGAGTCTGGTGGTTTCCTGCCAAACTAAACATACATTCCCCACATGAAGTAGCAACAGTGCTCCCCGACATCTACCCAAAGGAATTGAGAACTTACGTCCACACGAAACTTACACGTGAATACTATGGATGCTTTATTCGGAATTCCCAAGGCTTGAAAGAAATCAAGACTTGAACCAAGATTCTTTAGGCTACTATATAAATAACTGTGGTATCTCCAAGGCTACAAAGAAACGAGGTAACAATCCATGAAAAAGACATGAAAGACACTTAAATGCATATTACCAAGTGAAGGGAGATAATCCGAGAAGCCCTGGCACTTTCAAGTGCAACTGTGTGACCTTCTGGGAAAGGCGCAACTAAGGAGGCTGGAGTAAAAGGGTACAGTGTCCAGTGGCCTGAGGAAGAAGGGACAAGGAGACAAAGCACAGCAAGGCCTTCAGGGCAGGGAGGCTCTCTGGGATTCTGTGATGGTGGACATGGGTCACTGCACATTTGTCCAAGCCCACAGAACACACGGCACCCAGAGTGAGTCCTGAAGTAGACTAGGGACAGTGGGCTGTAGCAAATGCTCCACCTGGTGGGTGACGTTGGCAGTGGGGAGGCTGGGCCTCTGTGCGGCAGGGACTGGGGACTCTATACTGTATGCTCAATTTTGCTATGAACCTAAAACTATTCTAAATTTTTTTCTTTTTTTGTGGTGCTGGGGATTGAACTCAGGGCATTGTGCGTGCGAGGTAAGCACTCTACCAACTGAGCTATATCCCCAGCGCCTAAAAGATTTTTTTTAAATAACATAAAACCATAGGGAGGAAAGTGTAATGATGGGAAGAATATGAAAAAAAAAATGAATTCTTAAGTGATCTATTTTTTAAAAAGAAAAAATGGAGGCTGGGGCTGGGGCTCAGCGGTAGGGCACCCGCCATGCATGTGTGAGGCCCTGGATCCTCAGCACCACATAAAAATAAATAAAGATATTGTGTCCATCTACAACTAAAAAAAAGTGTTTAAAAAAAATATTTGCAAAAAAAAAAAGAAAGAATGGTAGGTGCTGGTTATGTGGACACATGAGCAGTACTACTTTGTTCGTATAGAATCGAGCACTCTGAGACATTAGGTCACACTCCAGGGCCACACACTATTGTTGGCAGTGCACCTCTCCTGCTGGGGGCCCTCTCGGGCCAATGAATGTGCTGACTGGACACAGAACCGCATGGAAGGCAGGCCTACAAACACTCCAAGTTTCCGGCCCGACAGGCCCACCAGAGGCAAGTCTGTTCACTGAATTATCATCCATTTATTTCTCCCTCTGGAAAGTAGAAAGCTCTTACAACAAGGCTGCCAGAGTGGCTATAAAGAGGCAGGAACTCAGGAATGGGGTGCCCTAGCCCTCAGTCCCCAGAATGCTAGGAATTGGGTTGGTGCCAACAGCACAAACCTGACCAATGAGAACACAAGTGACATGCTCCCCTGAGGGCCATGTCATTGCTTCAGTTCACGCTGCCTACAGGTCTGGTCCCAGCTCTGCTTCCTGTGAAGTACACTGGCCACAAGGACAAGGGGAGACTTTATTTCAATCTCAAATTCCTCACCCTGCTCAGTCTAAACTTGGCTCCCAACCTTCATCACACACTCCCTCTTTCCTAACTGGTCTCTGTCCCCAACCCTTGTGGGCAGCCAGACCCAGGGCCTCACTCCCAGACTCCTTCCTCTCTCCTTTACCAATGGGGTCAAGCAGAAACAATACTAAGCAAGAGCCCACCCGGCCTGCCAAGAGGGCAAGATGAGTCGGGTCTTCTCAAGAGTCAGGTAGAACTCCCAAAAACACAGGCCAGGCGCCTCTCCACATGTCCCCAGCCTGCCACTGAAGCAAAGGAAGAGAGCCGCAGGGAAAGACAAGCACTCCCCTTCAAGTGTGGGAGGAGCTGGGCTTGCTAGGGGAGGCACCGAGTGGGGCCCAGGGAGAGACCTGCCCTGCAGTGAGAGCCCCATCTGGAGGCGTGTTTCTGCACTGTGAGCACCTACCTGCTAGCCCAGGTTCCAGACCCTGCTCTGCATGGAACCAGGTGTCTCAGTGGTGCTCTAGGGAGCAAAGGATAGTCCTGTGGCCACAGATGGGGTTATGCTGTTCTGACAGTGGAAGCAGCCCTGAGGAGCCACTGGCAGGCCACCCAGAGGCCCTGCAGAGCAAGGGTTAACAGAAATAAAGCAATGTTGCCATTCCAGCCCCAGGATGTTGGTACCTTTGCTAAAGTCCTTTGGGTCCAGTGACAGACTGTAGCCAGGCAGCGTCTCCAGGAGGAGCTTGTAGCAGGCCCTCCAGCCAGGCTCCGCAATGCTCGGGGCCACGCACTGCATGGCCGCCACACGCTTGAAGAAGGCGGACTTGCGGTGGAAGCCGATCAGCTCGTAGAGCTCGGAGAGGATGCTGTAGCGCTGGATTTTCTCTTCTTCAGAAAGCTGAAGCAAAGAAGAACACAAAAAGCTTTTCAAATATACTTGTAAATGAAGAAGGAAATGCACATGAAAAGACTTGTACAAAACAAGGACCTGGAGAGTCATCAAGGAGAGGGAGGGCTGGGCCACGGCAGTGGGACACAGCAGCACTGGGAGAAGCTCTGAGGACCACAGTGGACACTGCAGAGCCCTCCGCCAGACCATGGCTCCAACTGCCTCCTCACCTTCTACTGAGGAGACCCAGACTCTGGCACAGAGGTGTTTGCCAACATGACATAAAACATCCTTCATTAAGAGAAGACGACGACGACGATAAAGAAGAGGAGCAGCAACCTGTAGGACTGGGCAAGGCCTGTCATCAGACGCGTGCTTGGTTGGAACGCCAGAGGTAGGGAGTGGCTCAGTGGTGGGGTGCTCATCAAGCATGCGAAAGGTCCCAGGTGCCCTCTCCATACCACAAAACAAATAGATAAATAAAGACAAGAAAATGGCATGGTATTTTTAAGAAGAATATATAGAGCCATTTACTAGGAAATGAATTGTTATTTAGACTTAAAACTCCACAGCGTACACCAAGTTTCTTTCACATGAAATGTTAAGAGGATTCTCCCAACAACTCCGACATGGAGTAATATTGACTTCTGCTGCTAAGCACCTACTGTGTACCAGCATATTTAGCATACCTCCTTTAATCAATACAACAACCCATGAGTGCAGTACTCCAGCCTGTGGACAAGGACACTGGAGTTCAAGGAAGCATCAATGACCTGTGCAAAGTCACACAGCCAAGGAGGACCAGAGACAAGACCTCCCAGTGGTCAGGTCCTGCTCACTGCAGGCCTTCACTTGGCTGCAACACAGCTGCCCTGGGACAAGAAGGCAGGTGGAGGCTCACCTGAGGAGCTGGCTCTCTCTGGCCCCAGCCTTGACAATAAATCTGCTTCTAGATATTTCTGTTAGGACACAGCCACATCTGAACACCCAGTCAACTTACACCCTTAATCCTCCTGTCCACTCTTCCCTGAGCCTGAGTGCTCTTACCTCTCCTCCAGGTCCTGCCTCCCACCTCCTCACTTTCCTTAATCCACCCACACGCACCTGCCAGACTAGTATATCTAACCCGGGCTCAGAGACAACACCCTGCTCAAGACTGACTGTGCTGAAACCTAGACGCCGTGATTGGGATGGGAGGCCTTTGGGGGGGTGACTAGGTCACAAGAGGAGAGCCAAGGCCTCACAAACAGGACAAGTGCACTTGTGAAAGAGATTCCTGAGACCCCTCCCCATGCCTACCACACCAGGACACAGCACCTACAGGTCAAGCAGGGGCCTCAACGGACTGGGTCTTGGACCTCCAGTCTGCAGAACTGGGAGAAATAAACTTGTTGTTTATAAGCTGCTCAGTCTCCGGTATTCTGCTGTAGCAGCCTGAAAGGACCAAGACAACTCCCATTTCAAAAGGAACCTTCAGAACCACAAAGTGCAACCTGGAGGCCCCATGTGCACACTGACTCCCAGGCAGACCCAACCTGCCCTGCAGCTCCAGCTCCTGCCTACCCACAGCCAATCGGAACCACTTCTACTCGTGTTTTGATCCTCAGGCAGCATGTCCTTAGTGAATGCCCGCTCTGTGCCAGACATGAGGATGGATAGGGACACAGTGAGCAGAGCAAAGACCCCTCCTCTGGGGCCTCCAGGGAGTGACAGGCTGGACCCCCTGAGGATCGGTGGGGAAGAAGACCACAGACCAGCAAGTGAAGGAACAGAAACACCACTGCACCTGTGATGAAGCAGACTGTCAGAAGGATGGTGGGAAGGTCAGGCACCACTCCAGCCAGGGGTCCATAGGACTTCACCAGGCAGAGAGGCTCTGGCGCACAGCCTCAGGCCCCCTCCGCCCACCCCACCATCGTCCATACCCAGCTCTCCTTCAAAGACTCTCACCCCACGTCACCCTCTTCCAGGAACCCATCCTCAAGCCCCCAACCTGCAAGCCGCTCGCTGCTGCTTTACATAAATTCTCACAACCATGCACACTGCATGACGTCACTGCTCTCCCCCACACCATCCACGTGCAGGTTGAGTCCCCGACCCCCAGCACCAGAAGACCCCGGCACCACTTCATGCTCACGCTGTGGTGCCCACCCACGTGCCACAGGTGCTGCATGTGCTCACCAACAGTTGACGTTATCAGTCTTTTTAATTTTAGCCATTCCACTGGCTTTAATTTGCATTTCCCTGATAACTACAATGCTGAACATCTTTCCATATGATTACTGGCCACTTGTATGTCTTCCCTTGTGAAGTGCTTCTTCAAATTTCCTGACAGCTCTTAAAAATTAGATCATTTGTCTTGTTCCTGAGCTGGAGCGGTTCTCTATATGCTCTGAATGTAGGTCCTCAGTCATACGTGTTTCGCAAATATTTATTGCCAATTTATTGACTTCAGGGACTCTCTTGATAAGCAGACATTCACTACGATGTAGCTCCAGTTATCAGTTGTTTCTCGGATGGTTATTGCTTCCTGTGTCCTTGTCTAAGAAACCTTTGCCCAAGGTCACAAAGATACTGTTTCCTTCTAGGAGCTTGATGCTCAGGCCTGCAATTCTGCTTCCTGTGAATGTGGAGCACAGCTGTGGAAGGAGCCTGTGACGGAGCCATGACAGAGGATCAAGGAGGTCCCTAAGGAGAGATGAGCACTAAACGCTCCAGCACAATCCTGTTCGCTCCTAGAGCTTTATCTGCACCAGAGCATGCCCACTAGGACAAGGATGGCAGGGGCGATCTCAGCTGTGGCCTCACGGAGACCCATGAACACAAGGTGGCAGCTCAGACAGGGTCTGAGCCCTGGCCCCCACCCACCGGAGCCGCACGGGTCCATCCACAGAAGCCACTCACTCGAACTCTGACTGGTAATGCACACTTCTGTTCTTCTCCTCTCCATCGGAATGCGATAAGGCAGCCAATGATGAAAGAACACCATATCACAAATGGAACTGAAATCACGTCAAGCCCTTGAAGAGATCCTTAGTGGGAAATCTTGGGCATGATGGTTTTCTAGCACCAGGAGCAATTCAAACATAAAGCTTCTCCTAGTAGAGCCCTGGGAGCCTCGGGACAAGGCTCTGCACAGTGGACATGCAAGAATCAGCACATAGCTCCGGGGGAACCTGAAATGGCCCCAGGCAAACACCAGACCAAGAGCCTCAGGAAATTTTTTTTTATTTGTTGATTTTACATATACATGACAGGAAGGTGCATTTTGACATATTATACACACATTACAATTTTGGTCCCATTCTTGTTGTTGAACATAATCTGGAGTTGCACCGGTTGTGTGTTCATACTGAGCATAGGAAATTTATGTCCGATTCATTCCACTGTCTTTCCTATTCCCATCTTCCCTTCCTTCCTCTTTAATCCAATGAACTTCAACACTTCCCTTCCCTATCCTCCCTTGTTATGGGTTAGCCTCCAGATATCAGAGAGAACATTCAACCTTTGGTTTCTCGGGATTGGCTTATTTCACTTAGCATGGTAGTCTCCAGTTCCATCCATTTACTGGCATATACCATAATTTCATTCTTCTTTATAGCTGAGTAATATTCCATTGTGTCTATATATTACATTTTCTTTATGTATCCATCCATTGAAGGATACCTAGGTTGGTTCCATACATTGGCTATCATGAATTGAGTTACTATAAACCGTGATATGGCTACATCCCTGTAGTATATATATTGATTTTAAGTCCTTTGGGTATATGCCCAGGAGTAGGATAAATGGGTCAAATTGTGGTTCTACTCCAAGCTTTCTAAGGAATCTCCATGCTGCTTTCTCAGGAAATCTTTAAATGCAATCAAACCCACAAATTCATTTCCCACCTGTTGCTCTCCTAGGGAGCATTCGTGAGCACATCTTTGTTCTAATTTTTCAATGGCCATGCAGGAAGAACGCCTGAGTTCAGTGTCCCGATGTTGAGACGCAGTTCCAACAGAAGGGCTCGAGGCCTGTCCCCACAAGATGGGCTGCCGGAGTCCCGTCTTCATCCGTCATTCCACTCCAGCTGCAAAGTCTATGCCAATAGTAAGGAGGCGGTGGCACTGGGAGAACTCAGGCCACAGGACCGGCACACTGGTTCTCTGGCAGGGTGACAGAGAGGACATGATGGATGCAGAAGTCCCTGAGCCCCATCCCGTCTCGGCCACTCGGCGTGCTGGCAAAATGGAGTGATCAAGAACCAAGTGTGATTTTGATTGTTAAAAAGACCAAATGAAATAACGTGCACATTTAGGAAAGGCCTGAAACCCTCAGCGGGTGTTCAGGAAATGGGAAACATCACTGTTGGCTAAACCAGGCTGTGACCAAATTAATCAGGAGCTGCAACACTCGAGTAAATGCCTCATTCCCAGCAGCCTCAGAAGCACAGGAATTGCAGAGATCTGAAGAGCAAGGAGGTGGTGGAGGCTCTGGGACAGGCTGAGGACAGCATCAAGTGCTGACTGTGGACAAAAGCATGAGGGATGACAGTGAAGGCCATGTGTTCCCCAGGACGGAAAACACATTCTGTTTCTCTCCATGATTACTTCCAGTCAGAATCGTACAGAGAGAAATGTATACACAAAATTTCCATTTGGCTGTGAAAAACAGTTGGTAGGAATGGCACTTCCCTTCCTGCCTCCCAAGCTGGGAAGCAAGGCCTATACCAAGGAACTATCTTTAAGAAGCATCTGCCTAAGGCAATGGGATCCACTTCAATTTTAATCATTCAAAGGGAAGAACGAAGGGGAAAAAAGTTACATCAGAGCTGGTCCTTTGACAGTCCCAAGGCAGTAGAGGAGATGGACAAGCCCATAAGGGATCACTCTAAAAGGGATCACTGGCAAGACAGATGGCCAGGGACACTATGCTCCAGGCTCTCGGGCAGGGACCTACCAGGTACCTATACTCGATGCCTCAGCAAGTGTTGAAGAGGGATGGAATTCCAGTCAGTACTCATGGTA